TCTCTCTCTCTCTTACCCTCTCACCCTCTCACCCTTCATTTCCTGGCCTTGCCTGCGGAGTCTTGCTGCTACATTGACCATTACCTGAGAGCTTATAATGTACCTGACATATGATGCTAAGATTACTTTTTAGTTAATTTGTTCAAGGGAAAAAGAGGACAAATATATTTCAACTTCCAGCTCTAGATGTCAGGAACTCCTTTCATGAGATCGTAGCTATGGATCAGGAGGGGACGGTAGACTCCCACTTGGTCCAGTCACTTTGTTTTGCAGATGACTAAACTGAGGACCAGAGAGGTTACAGGCCCTGCTCAAGATCCCACAAATAGTACGTCATGGAGCTGGGATTGAAATTCAAGTCTTAGGGCTCTTGAGTTCATCATTCTCTCCAGTAATCCTTGGTGACCCCAACACCAGAAGTGAGGAATTCCTTGAATAAAGATAGGTACTTTTGTAGGGAGCCTAGAGTAAGTATTCTTGACTGCCAGTAAGTACTTCATTCCCTATCCCTGTAAGCTGCATAAAAATAGAAGACACATGGGGACCACGTTGTCAGAATTAAGGAGGGGGATCAAGGAATAAGGGAAATTTTGGGAAGAGATGTGGTGGTATAAACAACAGGAACAAGAATAAGCATTTACATAGTACCTACTATGTGCCAGGCACCTGGGCTAAGTACTTTTACAAATATTGTCACATTGGATCATCACAACAACCCAGCAAGGTAGGTGCTCCTGTTATCCTCCTTTTGCAGTCAAGGAAACTGAGACAAACAGAAGTTAAGTGATTTGCCCAGCCTCAAACACTTACTAAGAGTTTGAGGCTGGATTTGAACTCAGGTTTTCCTAACTCCAGGCCCATATAGGCTAAGGTCCATTTATAAGCTAGGGATCTTTGCATGACTCTGGCTGTGGGTTGGTTGGGCCTTGTGAGTAAGTTAATAAGCTCATCCAGAATTGTGCTTTTCATAGCAGTTGATAGTAGTACACCTTTTAATAAATGCTGCATTATATGTGATATGATAGATAGCTGACCTGTATGATTTAGCACTCAAGCAGGTAACTTACTCATCTGGTAAGATTTGGTCCAATTTCAAAAAGATCTCAAAGGACCTTTTCATATTAGCCAAAAACACTTGATCCATATAAACATTAGATGCTCTGTTTGTGTATCTTATATCTTCTAGTCTAACAACAGCTTCAGAGTTAGTAGTATTAGCTATTGTTTTTTTTTTTTGTAGCAAAAAAAAAAGCTCTCTATTTCCTCTTTTATTAGAATAAGAAGACTGATTTGCAAGCCTGGTTTTAAATCATGAAGACAATAGAGAAAAAATTTAACCTAGGTTGCATTGCAAATATAAGGGGGAAAAGAAATATTTATCCATTTTTAAGAGGGAGAGATGATGATTAGAAAAGATTTATTTTAAACTGCCAAGGAAGTCTTGAAATCATTAGTAGAGACAAAAGCTGTGAAAAGTGATAGTTTTTTCCTTCCATTCAAGCTCTTCCACACATAAACCTTTCTAAGCCTTCACACCGTTCCTGTCTCAGTTCCACTTAAAGATTATTAAGGTCAGCTGCCTTGATTGTCAAGGGTAACGCCTGCCACCAACCAGGACCCTAATTAGTTATGAAGTTCAGAACAGGGTTTCTTTTTCTAGAGGTCCTATGTGCCGTATGCATAATAGGTGCTTAACTGGTTTTTAATTGAGTAGAGGGACTATAATAATATAGTCAAAAATTGTTTCTTGGTTATTTAAAAATAGTTGTTTCAAATCATTACTTCTGCCTTTTAAAATTTGACAGACTTTTTTTTGTATGTTTTATGTGTAATGAATTCTAAATTTAAAGCTTTGTTTTCTTCTTTTGTGCCAAGATTTAAAAGAAGCTTGCAAAATGGTCTTTTTATTTGAATAAACTGAAAACATGTGCCCTCAAAAAGCAGTGGACCTACCCAAATCCAGGAAGGGAAGGGATTCCTCATTTCCTTCAGTCATGATCTTTTATTTCTAAAGAATCCCCTTCTCTCCTTTCTGTGGCTCAGTCCTAGCCAAAATGACGTGGGTTAAAAAAGGAGGTTGGCATTGTCAGGTACTTACTACAGTTTAATTGGAAAATTCTTCCTCAAGAGTCATCATTAGCATTAGTTATATTGGGCTCTTTTCTGTCGTCTTTATTCAGTCTATGCTGGTTTAAGTAGCGTATCCGATTCATATTATTAGTTATTAAACTCTTCAAGGTTTTATATAATTATCTTCTCACATTGTCATCGTGGACGGATTCTCTACCCTGCTTTGCTCCCCCATTTCCCCTTGAGGTCAGAAGGTCTTGAGCTTTAGTGGGGGGTGGAGGGTGGAGGGCTCCATCAGTTTTAAAGGAGTTGTGATGTAGATAGAAAACCTGTATCTGCTCTCTTTGAGCACATTCCAGCTTGGTGACCTTTTCTCATCTGCAGTGATAGCTCCTTCTGATCATGTGACCTTTTGCTGCCACCCACGACGAACACATTTCACTGAGTCTTTTACTAAGTCCATATGGTACTACGTACTTCCCGCCCAGCTTACCTACCCAGCTGTTATTTCCCATCTAGTTCGTTAGCCCATGGTCCTGTCATTGCCTTTCCTGGGTTGTGTTTGGTGTAGCTTAGGAAATGGTATGACGTAGTGGATAGCATGTTCAACCAATACACTAGAAATTCAGATTTGCTTCCTGTCTGTGCCACTGATATTTTATATGTGCTCTCTGAGCTTCTGTTTCTCCAGCCCAGATGACCTGAAGTTAGGAAGACCTGAGTTCAAATCCACCTCAGACATTTCCTAACTATTTAACCTTGGGCAAGTCACTTAACCCCTGTTTTCCTCAATTTCCTCATTTGTAAATGTTGGGATAACAATAGCTCTTACCTCCCAATATTATTTCGAGAATAACATGAGATGCTATTTGTAAAGCACTCTGCAAACCTTAAATACCTACATTGGCTTGCCTCACCTGGATTTATGGTTGTGGAGTGCTTTGCAGTAATCATTTTTATGAATAGTTAGCAGATGTGTTGTAAAGATTGGTAAACTTAGAACCTGAAATGTACTGAGTTCCTGGAATAAGAGAGAAGTAGTCACAAAAACAAACAAAAAACCCACTATGAAAAAGAAAGAGCATTTGTATTTGGCATCAGGGGTCTTGGATTCAAATAGCACTTCCGTTGTCTACTACTTTTGTGACTTTGGGCACATTGCTTAACTGCCTGGGCCTCATTTCCCCTTTTGTAAAATTTGGGGTGAGTCTTCCAGCTCTTACTCCATAACCCTAAGCAGGTTAGTGTATTTCTGATCCATGGGACCCTGAGCAAACATCCCTGGTCAGAGGAGAGGGCCACAGTGGGAAATGGTTTATACAGTGCAAGAGAAAAACAGTGCATGACTGTCAGAGTCATGATGAAGACAGGATTAAGTGTTTAACAAGAAGAGCTCTTGTTGATGAGAGACAGGTAGCAGACCTCAGACTTTATTTTAATGTTTTAGGTTTTATTTATTTTCTTCTTGCTAAAGAAATACTGATCGCCAATTGTACAAAACAGATGCAGTGTTTGTCTTGGCTGGGAAAGCATTTTGATAGGTGATGGGGCCATTTAGTTTTTGCTTCTGCTATCAAAGAAATAGGCATTCAGGGTATCTTGAGCAATGTGAGGGATGCATGGAGGCAGCAGGAGCGCGGGCGCTTTAGCTGATATGGCGGCTAGGAGAAGATGAAGCTGCAAAGGGGAGGTGGTGGCATCAAGTAGTGGAGGGTCCTTAAGGGATTTTAGATTCTTGCAGACTCCAGATTGAGATATTTTGTAGGCAGCTGAAGGTTTTGGACCCTCCAAAGAGAAGAAGACGCATCAAGACTAGCGAGAGATTCTGTTAGTCATTCAGTTCTTCGTGTAATAGGTTTAGAGCCCAGGGGAGTCAAGGGGTGATCCAGCCCAACCCCTCATTTTATAGACACTGTGGCAGAGGCCAGGAGAGTCTAAATGACCTCATTAAGGTCATGCAGGTATTCCATAGCAGAGCCAGTATATGAACCCCCTCAGCTGTCTCTCCACACCTAAATTCGAATCTCAGAGTTATCTTTAACTTGGCCTTTTCACTTGTGCCACATTATCCAGTCACTCCCCAATTTCTTCCATCCCTCCCTTTGTGGAAACCCTGGCCCTATCCCTAATTTGTGTCTTTACTACCTAATAGAGTCACAGGTGAATGAATCTTCCTGCCTTCCATCTGTCTCCTGCTCCCAAATCCTTATTATAAACTTCATCAGCAGGCCAACTTTCCTAAAACATTCTCCATACCATTACTCTGCTCAGAAATTTCTCTTACCTCGCAGTCCCCTCAGGATCAAGGCACCCATTCCCCTGGCATTTGAGGCAATCCTGTTTTACATTATTCCCCAACATTAGTTCCTGGCTCCAGTCAAATTCATCTTTTACCAGAATACCCCTGACACATTCATGCCTCTGTATCTTGGATGGCAGGACATCCTTTGCCTATTCTGTCCTCCCTGATCCTTTCCTCTTTATCATTCTGTGCCCAGATCAGATCTCCCGTGATGCTTTTCCTGAGCACTGTGGGGCCCAGGGATCTCCCCTTCTTCCCAACTCCTATAGCTCTCTGCTTCACTCTTTTGAATCTTGGTATATATTGCTTCATATTCTTAGTTGCATTTTTGTCTTGTCTTCCCAATTAGATTGTAAGGGCCTCCAGTGCAGGGTTTTTACACCATTTGGGGTTCCCTACCACACCTTGAATAGATTTAGTGAGCAGTTGGCACTCCATGAATGTTTATTGAGGATGGCTTACTAGCAGAAGTCATTGAACCATTAAAATTCACCTGGGGTGTGGTTCTTGACTTGTTCTCAAGTTTGTTTAATTAAAGTATTCTTCTCTGATTATCCCTATCCTGCTAAGTTTAATCTTTTGTCCTCAGTGGACCTACATTTTCTTTCCTCTTTCCTTGTCATTTCAGCCCATTCCCAGAATTATGGTACAGCCTGTCAGCACGGATGTCAGCAGGACCAAGACAAAACAGGTATTTGTGCCGCCATTGACAGCAGCGCTATTAGAGGAGCCAGCGGCGCCTTCCCTCCTATTCATCATGGCAGCCCCCAGATGCAGAATGCACAGATGGAGTGATTTTTTGGGCTGCGCTTGCACGGATTTTTTTAAACTTTACTTTTCGATAATTAACAGTAATATAGGTCACTTTTCCCTCCTCCCGAACCTGCCTCCCCCATGCCCCCATGTTCCCTGTTATACCTTCTATTTTCAACTTGCTAATCATATGATTGTTTAACTTTTAGGTGCTTGACTGCTAATGCAGTCTGCTGCTTTAATAGCCCACTGCTAGGCATTGAAGCTTTCTATAAACAGAACAATCTCCTTATTCCAAGTGTTTAGCTTAATTCTCAGTTTTACATTTCATTCTGATTCATGATATCAGTGTGAAAAGACTAATGCTAAGCTGGGAGAAAATAGTCTCTTATGATCTCCCACAGATCAACAGCTCTTCTAGTCTTATGAATAGCAAATCTATTTTCTCCCACTGTGCTTTCATTCTCTTAGCTAAAGTTATCTACATAGGAAAATTTTATTTATTAAAACAAAACAAAATAAAAAAGTCCAGCAACTGGAAAGACGATTCAAGCCTCTGCCAACAGCTCTCAGCCCTGAAGGGCACTCTGGGATGAATGGCTATTAAGGTGGAAGGAGGGGTGGAGCACAGGTCCCAAGGCCTGGTGTCTCTCAGCCGAGCCTCTGGGTGAATTTGAATGCAGCACTAACGAAATCTTTGTGGTTCTGTTTCCCCTTGTGTAAAATAGGACTGTAATGTCTGCCGTAACATATCTGACAGGCTTATTGAGGATTTAATGAGGTAATTTACGCCAGAGTGCTTCAAACTCTGTAAAGCTTCCTGTAAATTTAAGCAGTTCTTACGAAGTTTGGGTCTGGCGGTGGATAGCTCCTCTTGGGCCTGTGCAGTTGTGGGCAGCAGAGTGTCAGAGAAGGGGGATTGGACTGGGACTGAGACCTGGCTGCTGGCATTCTGTCATCTACCAGCTCGGTAACTTTGGTCACGTCACTTTGACCAGCTGGGGGTCCACTTCTTCATCTGGAAAATGAGAATTAAGTGATTTCCTAGCGCTGATACTCCAGAATTCCTCTGAGAACCAGTTAAAGTGGCATTGTGGCTAACTGCTTCAGAACCAGATTTCTTACTAATGCTCTAGTCTTTCTTATGCCTTGAATTGGTGCCCTCAGTCCTCCCTGCAGGGTCAGTGATCTTAGGAAACAGAATAGAAAATAATAAAATATGTACATGTTGCAAAAAAAAAAAAAAAGATTGCAAGACCTTAATCTTTTAGAGTAGATGTGTTGGTGAAGGTTATTGATCTGTTGGATTTTGTAAACTTTGCAGCTCAGAAATCCATCACTAAAAGGGGCTGTTAATCTCAAGAGGTGCAGTTAATTTTGCATCCTGGAAGTGTATGATGAGGGAAAAGGAGTGCCTTTGGAAACAGGGATATAAATGACAGCTCATGTAGAAATGCATGATTTATCAGACTGCCAAGTTAAGCCAAGTAACTGTAAGAGACTTATAGATCACAGACTCTTTCCCAGTTCAAATAAATCCTGTATTTCAAATGGAAAATGACCATTCCTGTAATATAAATAATCTTTCAGTAAATATTGGAAAACATATTTCTTTTGCTGAAGCAGCCCTCCTTCCCCCAGTCCTCTCTGTCTCCTCTCCTCCCTCCATCATTGTTAATGGGTGAACAGACTGATAATCTGCCAGCTTCGTAAAAAGGCTTATTAACCAAAGAACACCTTACCAGCACCACTGGTACGTTGGAATTTGGACAAGCCGTGGCTGTCAGAGTTCCAAATGAAACATGTGCTGTGTTTGTCCACTGCCAGGATGACTCACAGAGCCATCGAAGAGTGAAAGGCCAAAACATCGAATCTGGTTCTGTTCCTCATTCAGGCGCAGCTCCCCAGGAGTCCCTGGTAGCTTTTTGTGCCTTTGTCTCATTGCAGTCCAGGAACTCCTGAGCAGGGCAGTGGAACCAGTGTTTCCACAGTAGTCTCAGGAGCTCCAGAATGTGCTCTAGGAGAGAGAGGGCCGTGCACTTCGTGGTCAAGAAATGGAGCTACCCCTGTGGTGCCCCAGCTCCTTCCAGTTAGAAGTGTTAAGTCAGAGCCAGTGGGCACAGGGGTCATTATTTTTGTGCTGGTAAAAGCTGTTCTGAAACATCTTCTAGTCCTCTGATGAGATCATCATTGAAATTATGTGGGAGAAAAGTGCTTCTCAGCCTTTTTAATAATCCTCACAGTCTCCTTATGAAGTGGGCCTGTGTTTTCAAGGGAGGAAAGTCACTAGCCCAAGTCAGAGAGCCCTTTGGTTATTGAGTGGCCGTTCAGTGTGGGACGTTGACCCTCCACCTGAGCTCTGCCAGTGGACGCCACAGTCCCTCCATAAGAGCTGAAGGAAATAATGCCATTTTTATTTCTGATTTTCTTAGCAAGAGAAATTTTAAAATCACTGGCAAATTCCAAATATTCAGCCAGGCATTCATTAGTCTTCTCCAGCGTGCCGGTCACAGTGATGAGAATACAGAGGCAAAAATGAAACATCCTCTGCTCTCAAGGTCCTTACCTTTTATTGGGAGAATCAACCTCACCCATTCCATGAGACCTTGCCAGATCTGTCCAGTTGTTATTGCCTCCTTTCATATTTCTTTTGTCTATATTTTACATAAGGTTATACATGTTTGAGCTGAACATAGGGATTCTGGAAACCAGAGATGAGGGGGGGAAATACATTTCAGGCACAGAGAACAGACCTTGCAAAGGCACAGAAATCATATATGGTGTGCAGGGAACAACATGAAGGTTGTTTTGGCTGGACTCAAGAGTGCATAAATATTAAATTATTGTGCTTTCTGCTTCAGGTTACTCAGGAAGATGAGCGGAAACATCTGCCTGAAACTACACCTCCGTCTTCTGCCATCGGGAAGAATGCTGATAAAGTCAACAAAATGCCTTCCCAGCAACTCCATTCTTCAAATGTCCAGACACAGGATACCCCAGAGGGTCCCCCCAGCCCTCTGAGTGAGGCCTCTAGTGGTTACTTCTCCCATAGTGTCTCAACAGCCACTCTATCTGATGCTCTCATGACTGGCATAGACTCCAGTGTCCATGCTGGCAGTCAGACCCCAAGCTCTCCATCCAATCCCCTCTGCCAGGGAATACCCGAAGGCGATGTTCCATTACCGCCAGTTAGTTCATCCTCAGAGAGCTCTCATTTGACCAGCCCAACGGACGCACAGATCCAGCAAATGGAGAAAAGCCAAGGTGGTAGCAGTCGTGTCTCGAAGCCCAAGGGATCAGCTTCCCCTGTCAGTAAGAATAAGGACCAGGAACATCTCTCTCTCGCCATTGACACAAAGGGTTTTCTTCCCACTTTTCCCACCCAACAGAAGGAATCATCCAATCAGCTCACAGCAGCAGAGACTGCATCTGTCACCAAACAACCCTCCAGACCCAAGGAACACACAAAGCCAGTCCCCAGCCTGGAAGTGCCCAAACCACAGCCGCCCCCTGACTTACTATCTCAGTCTCCTGCTGTGGCCTCTCCATTTAAAATCCAGAAGGTGAGAACTTCAGAGCTAAAATCATTCACACAAATGCTGGGAGACTCTAACTGTCCCTCCAGTACAAACGAAGACCAGCTGACCTTGGGGGGCCACCCCAATCCAGGAGGAATAGCCAAGGAAAAGCTGGAGGCAGCATCTGACTCAGAAGACACTGATGAAGTCCCAGAGTGGTTAAAAGAGGGAGAATACGTCACAGTGGGCACTAACAAAACGGGCATCGTCAGATACATTGGACCAACAGACTTCCAAGAGGGCACCTGGATTGGAGTAGAATTGGATCTCCCTTCAGGTAAGTGAGGCCAACAAACCAGCTTAGCGCAGTGTAACAGCCCCCAGCCTGGAGTCTCAGCCCTAGATTTAGGAGTTCCAGGACTGAAGCCTGCCTCTGCCTTTTCTCTTGGTCAGATCACTTTACTGCTCCAACTTTGTTTCCGCATCTGAAAAATGAAAGGTTGGATCTTATTTGCCAAATATTTACTATTGCATTGCACTGTGTTAGGCTCTTGAAACATAACCTCTTGTCAAGAAGTCTGCAACTTTATGGTGGAGAAACCTATTCCCAAATAACTGCTATGTAGGGGGGACAGTGTGATGAGTGCAAAGGAGATAAAAGTCCCAGGCAGAGTGCTTTGAACATTCTGATGAAGGAGAGATCACTTTCAGGCCAGGGGAGTGTGGAAGATTTCTAAGGAAGCTGGACCTCTCCTTGAAGGTGAGGGAAGGAAGGGACTTTAAAGAGACAAAGGTAGGGGGATTGGAATATCATGGTTATAAAGGTGGGGCAAGGCAGGATGGTATTGTTGAGTCAGATCGTGGAGGACCTTGAATACCAGGATCAGGAATTTATACTTGATTCAGTTTGAGAAATGACATGATCAGATCCATTAGCACATTAGGAAGATTATTTTGGCAACAGAATGAAGGATGAGTTGGAAAGAGGATAACCTCGAGGCAAGAAGAAGTATCAGAAGGCTGAACCAAGGTGGCAGTGATCAGTGGGTCACAAAGACAAGGAAGGGCGGGAGAGGACGAAGAGGTTGCCAGGGTCAGATAAATAAGATAAATAAGAACACGGGGCCTTGAAAGAGAGAGAGAAGAGTCAAAGTTGACTTCAGAGTTACAAGTCTTTGTTGATTGGAAGGACAGTAGCAGAAGTAGTAAGTATAAAAGTTAATGTAGGAGGCAGATTTGGAGGGGAGGATTCTTTCCATTTTGGACATGTTGGATTTGATCAAACCATGTGGTAGGGCATCCCAGTGGAGATGTCCTATAGGTTTTTGGAAATGCAGGCCTAGAGCCATGGGATGAGATTGGCTGTGGAAACTTAGGACATAGTTGAAGCCAAGCGATGAAAAGCTATCTAGATGATCTCCAAGGTTCCCTTCAAATCTTCTACTCTTTGGGCCTTTCAGATCAGTGATGTTGTTTCACTTCTTGTGATTTTTTTTTTTTCATTCTAGAGGTTAAGTATTGGATAAACAGTTGTTAACTTTGTAGGGAAACTGAATTGTGGATAGTGATATATGCTTCTTCCTTAAGAGATTCTGACATCATTTATAATAATTATTATTACTTCATATTGTCACATAAAAGGCCTGGCTTAAGATTTGTTATTAATCAGGCTCCTCGGCTGGAAAGGGGCTCAAGAGGGCCCTGAATCTGTCTCTTTGCCCCGCAGTGACTGTGCCTAACATGTTCTCAATGTGGAAGATCACAATAATCACCTTAAAATCAATTAATCAATCTGAAATAATTTTTTTAAAAATCTACTAAGTATCAATTAGGAGAAATACCTAAGTGCAAGATGAAAGTGCAAGATGTGTTCTTTTAGTCAAGTTGTTTTCCTCCTCTGTAAAATGTGAAAGTAGGTTATATAGCTTTCCTTCCAACTTTAACAATCTTTAATTATAATAGAAATAATTTGACAGGATTATCTAGTCCCAGCAGTTAGTTCGGCGTACCACTGGTGCTCCGTAAATAACAGTCTTGCAGTATCTGTCTGCATCTGAGAGGGGGTGGCACTCCTCACACAGGGAGGCCATGCAGTCAAGGGGCATGCATCCATCCACACATTGTTTTCAGTCCCTAGTTGCCTGTGCTTTACCTGTTCTGCTTTCCACCTGATCACTGGCTAAGCTTCCCTGGAGGCTGTGTTCCTCAGAAACAGGTGACTGGGTTTTACCTATCCATCAGACTCTGGGTAAGCACCTCCTGTGTGCATAACTTTGCCAGTTATTGCTGGAGGAATCGCAGTGATTCGCACTGTATAAAGTCGGCCTAAATGTAGTTGTCTCAAAGGAGGGGAAAACTGTAGTGTAGCAGAGTGCAAGGATTGGTCGAACATGGCAGGGTTGGGGATGTAGGGAGGGAATGCCAGTGACTTTGTCTCTGCTTGGAGTTAGAAAGATCAGACACAGTGACTGCTAAATCCATTTTTTTCCTTTGCTCTTATCCCAGGTAAGAATGATGGCTCCATTGGGGGAAAGCAGTATTTCAGATGCAATCCTGGCTATGGTCTCCTCGTGAAGCCAGGCCGCATCAAGAAAGCCACTGGGCCGGCCCGGAGGCGCAGCGCTGGCCTCAGGCTTCAAGGGGTGGCAGCTGAGCACCGGAAGACTGGGAACTTGTCAGGCTCGGCCTCTAACTTGGCTTCGTTGACAGCCCTGGCCAAGGCCGAAGGGGGATCCACGCTGCGATCAGAGAGGAGCCAGCGGACCACGGAGAACCGGAAATCCTGGGCCAGTTAAATGGGTCCATCTAGCTGTGACCCGGGAGATCCAGCAGAGCATCTGCTGCTTCCTTTCTAGGCAAATACTAATGAAGATTATGGGAAGGCTTTTCTCTCTACACCTTCTGATCCCTCTCTGATTACTGCCGTGTAACTTCATGGCCCTTCCTGGGGACAGAGCTGTCATGTGGTTAATCTCCTGCCTGTAAATCTGTAGCATCACCCAGGCTTGGGGGCTTGGAGCTTCTTGGTGGGAGCTCAGACAGGAGCATTGCAAGAAGCACGAATGGTTTGACTCATCTATCCTTGCTGGAGTGGAAGTGTACTTGACTTATCCCCAGGTTTGTAGTGGGCTTCAGGAGCTATTTTTCCTGAATCCAGCTAAAAGCCAGGAGAAGAGCGAACAGAGTAGAAAGGCTCTGGCAGGTGCCTGAAATGTGCAGTAGCCCCTCCTCTGCTGGGCTGTTTGCTCAGACAACAGCCCTGGGCTCTCCTTGAGCCCTGCCCTTACTGGGGCTGTTGGTTATCTTTCCTTCTAATTTTCTGATGATTCCATTAACCTCTTCTTTTTAAGTAGAATTAAAACTGACGGCTCCTTTGCCTGCCCCAAAGTATGACTTTTTCATGCTGGCCTGAGATCTCAAGGCTCCTATCCTGTCTGCAGACCTGGGTCGTTGAGTCCTTTCTGGGACCATTTCTTCCTTTTCCCCCACCCCGAAAAAAGGCTTTCCAAAACAGTGCACACCTGGGTGGGAGTTCTTTGTTTTCTGTGAGTAGCCTCACGCCCTGAAGGGCCTAACCCCTCACCCCTTTCTCCCTTACTGTCTTTTACAGGGTATATAATTTTAAAAGAACATCCTTGCCTTAAACCTGGAAGACTGTTTTATTTCCCATTGATGCCCTTAACAGAGTGTTCGGATAGTATTTATTTGTATTTATTGTTGGTTTTTTTTTTTAATCCTAAATAATGTGCAAGCTACAATCTTTCACTGACTTCCATAGACCTGGGTGCCTTCACTTCACTTGTGCACAGAGCCTGCTTGGGGCCTCCCAGGGGTACACACAGCCTTGTCCAGAAGGGGCTGGCTACTCATGACAGTCTGGGGGGTGGGGGTGGGGGCAGAGGGTAGAGTTCTTTTGACTGTCCTTTCATTTTCAGACACACAAGTGGCCTTATTCAATTGAAATGGAAACAAAAATAATTTCACGAAATTCTAGACACTGAATAACTTTGATGTTTCTTGTTTTAGTCACCAGGGGAGGGGTGGGGTTGGGGGGAGAGGACAAGCTTTGTACTACTGTGTTGTTGGTGGTTGTTTGTTTGTTTGTTCCTGGGACAGTCCAGAAGCCAGGTGATTGACTCTAAACACCTTGGGTCCTGCCCTTACCCAGTCCTAATGACTCCCAGGGCTAACCTTGCATGTGTGTGTGTGTGTGTGTGTGTGTGTGTGTGTGTGTGTGTGTGTGTGCTCGTGCTCCCGCTCCCATATGGATATCTTTAGTGGGGATCCTTAAACTGGTGCTAAATTTTAGGGAGTTTCTGGTCTTGTATGGGGAAAAAAAGCTTGATTTTCACTAAGCTAACTGAAAGTTAGCATTCCTTTCAGTCATGAATGTAGGCAACAAAACATCCTGAGCACAAGCCCGTGGGCGTCACCCGAGCACTAGGGGAGGACCAGGCCACAGAGGCTAAGACTGCCTGCTCTGTGGTCATCTGCTGTAAGAGCTCTTGGTCTGCATCCCAGAGGCTGGAGGCCTGGAAGGGATTCTGAGCAGTTACCTGGCCTGGGCACAGCCTGCCCTTAAACCATCCTGGACTGCTCAGAATCTCTTTTCCTCAAAGACTTCATCTCTGATCAGTGTCATCTTTTCTACTCCTGCCCTTCGCTAAGGGCCCAGGGCAGAGCTGTCCTCAGAGGATGCTAGCAATGGAAGGAAGGAGGGAAGGCCATTCCATAGAAGAGGGAATCGGGGCTTGGATGTCTGAATGCCTGCTTATAAATGGGATCAACAGGGCAAGTTAAGCAGCACGAGGAAAAGCGGCATGTTTTCGATGCCCCAGGAGGGCAGCAACTAAGCAATTCTCTAACCTTTGTATCTTCCCCAGAGCTGGATGTTGAGTTCATATTAATCAATGTTTGGTAAGTTGAATTAATAAATAGTTGATTCTAAAATAGCAGTACTTACGTTATCTGTCCTCCTCCCCAAGAGCCTTTGCCATAATGAGTGTGCAAGAAACATTTGTCTACTTAATCTCATTTGCACATTCTCCTTATGATCATGCGATTGGTCCTCATGTGTGGAAGGCCACGGTAAGCCTCTCACTGACTCCCAGGGAATTTCAAGTTGCCCCTGAATAGGGATGGTGAAAGTTATCAGCGTCCCTGCAGGGCTGTTGGATTCTTCCCAGTGGATTTGCAGAGGCCTCTACAGTGGGGTCAGTGGATTGGAATCAAAAGAAAACTTGACTCTAATCTTAGTTCTGTCATCAGTGTGGAACAGAGGGAAACAGTACTATCCTTAGAGTCAGGAGCTGTGTTTGAATCCCAATTCTGGTGTTTCTTGCCTGGGTGACCTTGAGCAAATCATTCTGTCTTCCTCAGTTTCCTTTTTTGTGTGAACTGAGAGGGTTGTACTAGATGATCTCTGCTGCTGCTTTCTGCTCTAAAGCTGTGACCCTGAGTCCCTTTCGCTTTCTTTGTCTCAGTTTCATTGTCCATAAAATAATGAGGTTGGACCACAGGCCCTGAAGGCTCCCTCTGGCTACAAATCCTCTGATCATCTTTGCAATGAATGCCTCATAGGAACAAAGGGAAAGGATGTTCAGCAAGGGAACCTGGGGGAGCCACCCCCTCCTGGGATTTAGTTTTCAGGGGAAAGGGGAGAAATTATCACTGGCACTCACAATCCAGACATTCGTTAAATAGCTGGGTGATGCCCTGTGAAGAAGCTTAAGATTAATTAACTTCCATTAATTAAAATCCTAGTAATTGCTTGCAACAGCTGCCTTAAATTAAACTTCTTTAACAATCAACTGTTTTCCAAGTGATTTGCCTTTTTCTTCTCCTAATCCCCTTAAGTTAGGTACTATTGGGCCGAGGAGGGTGTAAACATTTGTACAAAACAGTCTTAAACACAAAACTTCAGGCTGAGATTGTCCTGATCATGAGATCAGATCTCTGGCTTCCCTGGCTTTCTCCTACTGGAGATCCTGGTGTTCCCTGTGGTAGACAAGGTGGTGCACGTTCCTTCTTTTTCTCTGAGCGTCCCTCATCCACTCAGGGCTCTTGTTCACACCCCAGCAAACTTGGATACCAAGTTGTTCCAGCTTTGATCCAGGAAGAACATTGACTGGCTGCCAGATGGCTCCGAGCTTCGTCTCGGCAGCATCCAGGGATGAGAACAAAAGGCATCCTAGGGTATTAAACCTGAAAGGGAGCGTAGAGACCTTCTGATCCAGGCCTCTCGTTTTACAGATAAGGAAACTGAGACACAGAAAGGGCAGGTATCAGAGGTATCAGAGCCTGGCGTCAGAACCAAGACTAGAAGCCAGGCCTTCAGCAGCTTCTTCTGACCAGCACACTCTGCCTTATCACTAGTGCTGCGGCCAGTTGTAGACTCCATAGGAAACCCACGGAAAATTTCCATCATAACTTTATATGAGGCCAGAGGTCACTTTTCCACCTCTTATTCAGAGGGACAGCATTCTGTGAAGATGTTACAGGAACAGGACCTGGTGGCGGTGGAGGCCCTCTGCTTGTACCGATGTATATTTTACTGCTTACGCAGCACGCAGAGTTCAGTTTTCCTTTTCCTAAGCATATCAGGCTTCTCTGAAAAAGCAGATCCCGTGCAGCCCCCAGAGAGAGGGGCCGAGGTCTTTTCCCCTTCTGTGTTGGCCCTGCTGACCCCTGGGCTGCCGCTTGGTTGTGTGAGCTGGGGGGGAGTCGATTCTCAGCATCTCCCGGGATCAAGAGTAGCCCACACGGGGCCTGCTTGTTTGCAGTTTTATAGCAAGACACTCATTTTTATTCCTTCGTGTCATCAGCTCACAGTTTGGGGATGCCTGCTGGGCATGTGGCAGTGGATATGGTGCTGTCACTTCTGTGTCCCGATTTTCCACCTAACCTTCTCACCACTGAAGTCATTTTTGGAATCTGTTTTTGAGTTCGAGATTCTCGTCTTCTTTATTTCCATCAATAAAATCGATGACACTCTAAGTCCCAGTGGGGGGGGAGGGGGGAAGGGGGGAGGGGAGCCCAAGCCCTGTAGGGACCACCCCCAATCCCCCACCTCAGCCTTGTGACTCTTGAAGTAAAGGCTGTTTGGGCTACCAAGTCACATACCAACCTCTTCAGAGAAATGGCCCCACGGAAACCAAAGGTTGTGGCAGTATTTATGCCTCTTGCTTGTTTTTTGTTTTTCTGTGTTGTCTTTCTCTCATGTCTGTCAGCCAAACAAAGCAGCAGAAGCAACACCCATAGGACTGACTCGAGGAAAGGGGCTTCAGAGAGCCAGGTCCTCCACTGTGACCTCATCCAATTAAAACCAGCCTGATTCTAATGGAATCATCGACCCGAGTGGATTTGCATGCTGGACAGCAGCAAATTGGTCCAGAATCTCACCCCCCCCCCCAATGCCCTTTGGCTTCAGGGATGGCATTATTGTCCGTTACCCTCAGGGAGGAAAGCCAGCGTTTCTTTACCTTTGTGGCAACTCCAGGCTTCTGCCCTGCCCCTCCTTGATTTTTTTCCCTTTAAAATCTTGTTTCCATGGCCCTCTCTCTTACTTGAAAAACCCTTTCTTGCACTTTGGTCTTAAAGCACCCACATCCAAACGTTCTGCAGTGCTTGGACTCTGCTGCCTGAACATTCCATCAAGTGGAATTCTTGACCTTAGAATCTACAAGCAGACTGCTCACCGGAACCAAAGGCTTAGACCAGCTAATATTCACTTAAACTTTAGCTTCTTGGGTGGGATTTTCATGCACTTTACATGGGAAAAGACATCTCCTTCATAGAAGTTCTGCAACCAGTGCCCTCGATCTCAGTGTAAGCTGGAGTTTTCTGTCCTTGGCCAAAATCTCCAAGGACAATTGCACGTTGCTTGGGATAAAGCGTGTCTGTGTGATGGGGCTGCTTTATACGGACAGTCTCAGGATGCATCTGTGGAAGTAATTCTGTGTACTCCTGATTTGCCTATTACACCAACGAAGGTTAAAGTGACATTTCGTATTCTATAAGTGAGGTGGAATATGTGAGTCTGACCTTTTTCTGTGAGAGATTGGTCCAAATCCACACTGGTAGGCATCTTCTACAGCCTTTGGCTTCTCAAAAAGTGCAGTCAAGGCCAAGCTGACTCAGTGCAGCCCTGCTTACAACAGTGCTGTGTTATTTAGCCCTTTGTACGATGTGATTCCCATAGATGCACCTCCCAAAAGTGGGACGTGGTTTTTGAGTTATCGCTAGCGTATTGAATCCTTGGGGCCGACCCTTGACTTCCTTCACTGCTTTGACCCCAGAGCTCTTGCACTGACATCCATGTCTTTCAAAGTGCCTTGTCCCTGGGACAGTCTATACTGAATCAAGGGAGGGAAATTCAAAATGAGCCTGAAGTATGTGTGTCTTTCAAGTGATTTCTCCTTGAGGGGGCAGCTCGAGCAATAAGATCCAATGTCAGCCCATTTCACTGGGTTCTGAAAAATTGATTTTCAAAAACCGTGTAATTGAGTTTTTGTTTTCTTGGTTCAGAAATCCCACAAACTCACTATCAGATATCTAATTGTGCCTGGAAGTGTTGGGAAGTTTTATTGGGAGGATGGGGCAAAAAGAGTGCCTGGGGATGTCCTGGGGCTCCTATCCTTTGGGAAGGTTTGTAGAGTGGAGTTGATAGTAGTGTACTGTGTGTGTATGTGTGTGCACACATGTCCACTCTGATGTTTTTAGTCCATGGTATGTGCCCTTTTTTTTTTTTTTAATGTACACATTTCATTGCAAGGAAGTAAAAGGTTGAAAACGTTCAAGGCCTTTCCTCAGCTTTTTTGCAGTTCTCTTGGATTGAATTTACTTTTAGCAGATAAGAATAGGGCAGTATAGACAACTTGGGACTTCTCAGAGAAGGAAATGGGAAGTGAATGTCTGCATTCATTCTACTACATTCACTACATGCTCAGGTTTCATGAGGGGAGTTTTAAAGCTGGCATGAAGGCAGGAAAGGCAGTAACAAGGCCATTTAGGCAGAAGGTGAGCAGGGAGAATAAAAAG